CCAGGTTGGGTTTTCCCCACCTCAGCCTGAGAGGGTATCAGGAGCTGAGGATTTACACTAAGCTCTGAAAGACAGGGGACATACTGGTGGGTGGGGGAAGGGGCAGGCCATGTGAGCAAAGGCCAGGAGTCAGAGTTGGACTGAGTGTGTGGAGGACCCAGGACAGGGAAAACCCTCTGCCTTTCCCCTGAAGTCTCCCTCTTCCCCCAAGAATTCTTCTGTAGGTAGGGATCCCAGTTTAAAGAGGGAGTGAGGCAAGACCTAAAAGCTATCTCTCCTTCAGCTCCCAGACAACAAGATCCTCAATGTGCCTGTGGCTGTCATTGCAGGGAACCGGCCCAATTACCTGTACAGGTGAGCCTGGGAGTGGGCTGCATCCAGCAGCACTGAACAGGAGGGTGCTCAGCGGGTGGGAAACCCAGACTCGTCTACCTGCAGGAGGAACTCTTGAGGTGGGCAGAAAGGCAACAGACTAGACCCGTTCACATATGTGGGTGAACGTGGGGAATGTAGGCCTATCCATAAGCACAGGGGAGCCCTAAGTTGGGACAAAGAGGCCTAACCCATCCCTGGGCTTCCCAGGATGCTGCGCTCTCTGCTCTCAGCCCAGGGAGTGTCTCCCCAGATGATAACAGTTTTCATCGATGGCTACTATGAGGTGAGTGGGGCTTGGGGGCTTTGAGCTGAGCAGAACACAGGGTTTTGGGTACCAAGTAGCAATAATCACTGAGGACTGGCAAGGGAGACAGCCAGGCAAGGGCTGTGAAATGTGGAGGGCTTGGCATGTCAGAGCCTGCAGAGGTGGGCAGGGAGAAGGCGGCTCACAGGATGACCAGTGGTCATGCCCTTCAGGAGCCGATGGATGTGGTGGCACTGTTTGGTCTGAGGGGCATCCAGCACACTCCCATCAGCATCAAGAATGCCCGCGTGTCTCAGGTACTGCCTAGGCAGGGATGGAAGGGGCAGACACCTGGCCCCACTATCCACCCCAAAGCTCATGTGCCCTATTTCTATTCTCCACTCAGCATTACAAGGCCAGCCTCACTGCCACTTTCAATCTGTTTCCGGTGAGTAGTAAGGACAAAACTCTTGGGCTTTGGGAAGGAAAACATGGGCATAAAATTTGGTCGTCATATATAGCAAGCTCTTCTGCTCTCTGGGCCTCATCCTCCCGATCTGAGAAGTGGGATTGGTTGGAGGAAACGTTAGGTGAGAAAGGCCCCCTTGGGATCATGTTGTATTCCTCCCCCTGCAGGAAGCCAAGTTTGCTGTAGTTCTGGAAGAGGACCTGGACATTGCTGTGGATTTTTTTAGGTGAGGGGAGTGCCCCTACACGCAGCAACTATGAGCTGCCTGGGGCCTCTTTGCTTGACTGGGTCTCCAGAGAAAAAGGCAGTGAAATGTCTTGGAGAGCTTTCTGGAGGAAGCAACCTCAAAAGTGGGGGAAAAGCCTGAGCAAAAGGTAGGATGGCAGGTGTTGGGCTTGAGTAGAGAGTAGAAAGGTTGAATGGAGACAGTGGGGATTTGGGGGAGGCATGACTTCTGAGTCCCGTCTTTAGCTCTTCCCTCATTGCTGTGAGACTGGGTTTGTCCTTGCCCCTCCCTGACCCCCTGGACCCTGCCTCTCTCAGTTTCCTGAGCCAATCCATTCACCTGCTGGAGGAGGACGACAGCCTGTACTGTATCTCGGCTTGGAATGACCAGGTAGGCCGAATGGCCAGGGGTCAGTTGGGGAGTGTGTAGAGGCCCTGAGCTAATACCTCCCACCATGGTTCCCTATCCCTAGGGGTACGAACACACAGCTGAGGACCCAGCACTGCTGTACCGCGTGGAGACCATGCCTGGGCTGGGCTGGGTGCTCAGGAGGTCCTTGTACAAGGAGGAGCTTGAGCCCAAGTGGCCCACACCAGAAAAGGTGCCCTGGCAGACTAGGGTGAGTGGATTGGGTTCCCCCACTGACTCAGAATCTCTTAACCTTCGTAATCTTGTGCCCCTCCAGCTCTGGGACTGGGACATGTGGATGCGGATGCCTGAACAGCGCCGAGGCAGAGAGTGCGTCATCCCTGATGTTTCCCGATCCTACCACTTTGGCATCGTGGGCCTCAACATGAACGGCTACTTCCACGTGAGTGGGAGGCAGGGATGTCGGGGAGCGGGGCACAGTATTGTAGACGGGGCAAGAACATCAACTCTGGAGCAACCCTAGCTCTGCCACGTCCTAGCCATGTAACTTTGGGAAAATTACTTATCTTTTACCTCAGTTTCTTTATTTGTAAAATGAGAATTAAAATACTATTCCTCATAGAGCGTGAGGTTATGAGCTTTAAATGAGTTAATATATGTAAAATGCTTTGAATTGTAAGTGTTATATAAGGGTTAGCTGGTATTATTTTTATTTTTACTATTCTTAGCACTAGACTGTGGGTGTGGTAGGGTATTTCTGCCACTAAGCACTTATCCAGCCCTGCCAGCTCTTTCCTCTCCTGTCCTTGCAAGTGCTGAAGCCTAAGCCTCGGCCTGAAGTGAACAGGGAGGTCCCTAGATCTGTACCCGCTACATGGCTGTGTCCAAAGGGCTACTCCGCAGTTACAGAGACAGCTCCACAGGAAGGAACAGACAGCTTCTAGCTTGGAACCTCCTAGAAGCCAGAAAGGCCTTCAGAGGCTGGCTGATACAAGACCCACACTCATCTGCCTGAGAGGGATAGGCATTTACCTCAGGTCACTCTAGTACCTAGCCACAGTAGCTTCCTCTCCCAGTCCAGCCTGTCCCTTTGCCCCACATCCCTAGCAGGGCCTGTTCCTGGCTTCTGTGGCTCTAGGACAGCAGGCCCAGGGAGAACCACTGAGGACAGGGGCTTGCTCAGGGATCAGTGTGGACATGAGCTCTCTGGCAATGCTTGAGTGCAAATTAAAGCTATTAAGAGCCTGCCAAGGATATTGCAAAGAGGATGGGGAAGACAGGAAAAAATTAGAATGACCTTTATAGGTCTAGGACTTCATTTATACATGGTGGGTTAGTGGGCAGGTGTGGGCCAGACAGTGTAAGTCCTTGATTTTCATCCTCACATCCACTCCAGGAGGCCTACTTCAAGAAGCACAAGTTCAACACGGTTCCAGGTGTCCAGCTCAGGAATGTGGACAGGTAGGGGCTGGGGACAGGGCAAAGGGGAGGATATCTAGGAGGCTCGATGACCAGTATTCGACAATCCCTTCCAACTGTGTGTTTACTCTGGCCCTGCTGTCTACCAGTTTCCATGTGACCCCTTGCCCTGCCCCTGGGACCTGAGGGGCTACCTTCTCCCCTGACCCAGTTCTCCCTCTCCTTCAGTCTGAAGAAGGAAGCTTATGAAGTGGAAGTTCACAGGCTGCTCAGGTATGGCCTAGGGCAATAGGAATATGTGGCAGGGAGTGAGAAGTAGTCAAATACTGGGGGTCTTGACTTCATAATTTGTGGGGCCCACTACAAATGAAAATCAGGGCCCCTTGTTCAAAAATGATAAGAATTTCAAGATGGCAACAACTAAGCATGGGGCCTTATGTGGTATACCCATGAGGTGGACCATCTTGGCCTCTCCCCCACTCCCTGCTGCAGTGAAGCTGAGGTTCTGGACCACAGCAAGAACCCTTGTGAAGACTCTTTCCTGCCAGACACAGAGGGCCACACCTACGTGACCTTTATTCGAATGGAGAAAGATGACGACTTCACCACCTGGACCCAGCTTGCCAAGGTGCACCGATACCATACCTACCCCAGGAATAACCCTTCCTCAAAGATACAGGGAAGCTTTGTTCTAGAATCTTTTATCTCAGTACCTATTGTTTATACTCCCAGAACCCCTCTTTCAACCCCTTGTCCAAATCCATATTCTAGGTGATGTTACCTCTTGCAAATTGAGGAGGCTGCTGAGGAGGGGATAAGGGCTTGGCTGAGTGTCTTCAGTAGCCCCTTCCCACAGCTCTCTGACCCATACCTCTCCCCCTACCCCACCAGTGCCTCCATATCTGGGACCTAGACGTGCGTGGCAACCATCGGGGCCTGTGGAGATTGTTTCGGAAGAAGAACCACTTCCTGGTGGTGGGGGTCCCAGCCTCCCCCTACTCGTGAGTGACTTTTCTGCCCTTGGAAATGGAAGACTAGTGGGATTAGGGGATAGCTAATGACCTCTCCCCTATTATCTTCTCAGGGTGAAGAAGCCACCATCGATCACACCAATTTTCTTGGAGCCACCCCCAAAGGAGGAGGGAGCTCCAGGAGCTGCAGAACAGACATGAGACCTCCACCAGGACCTGCAAGGCTGGGTACTGTGTACCCTCAGGCAGGCTAGCTCTTCACCCCATCCTGTAGGATTCTGTAGATACTGGCAGGGGTTGGGGCTGGTTTGTTTTTAACATGAGACTTAATTACTAACTCCAAGAGGAGGGTTCCCCTGCTCCAATGCCCCTGTTTCTGAGTTGGAGGTCTATTTATTTACTTCCTTGTTGGGGAAGGGTAGGATAGTACCTGGGAATCATTGGGATCCTTGGGCAGCTGATCCTGCCTTTTGTGTACTCCTTCCTCCCAGGCCTGGCTCAGAATCTAATCTATTTATTGACTGTCCTGAGGGCCTTGAAAACAGGCTGAAGCCTGAAGGGCCTTGATTCCTTTATGGACTGGGGTGCTGCCTTGAGGATGGGGCTGGCTCTTACTCAGGAAACTGCTGTGCCCAACCCCTGGACAGGCCCAGCTGGGGCCCACCTGCTGATGCAGACTCACTCAGAGACCTTCAGACACTGAACCAGGCCTCTTCTCAGCCTCCTCTTTGTCCAGGTTTCCAAAGCTGGATAAGGTGGTCATTGATTAAAAAAGGAGAAAACCTCTGGGGATGTCTTGTGATTGTGCGTGTATGTGGGTGTCTGTGAGAGAGAGAGAGAGAGGGGCGGGGGCAGGAGAGAGGATGGTGGTAGTGAATGATGAGTTTTCCTTACTGTCCTCCACAGGGTTTACCCTCCATTTGGGGCCATTTGGCCACCAGGGGATGCCCAAGTCTTACATTCTTAAGGTTTTTCCCTAGGCTCCACCCTAGGGCAGCTGAGCCTAACCACAGCTCCACATTAGTTGAGGCTGAGCTTGGAGTAGCCACCCCACATTCCTTCCCTGTTTAACCACTGCACTGGGCTGTTCCCTGCCTAGCTTGTTGGCCAGGCACCTGTCCCCAGAGATGAAGCAAGAGAGAGTGAAAGGGGATACTTGGGGTTGGGGAGGTGATGAGAGAGCAGGTGAGCATAGTGGGGTTGGGGTGGGAAGGAACTGGGTAAGAGGGAACTGGATGGTCATCACTCAGGAGGCTAGGACTAGGCTACAGATAGAGACATAGGAACAAAGATTTCTGTGACCCTTAGGGCACTGTATGCAGATTCCATAGCTGGGCAGTTTTTCTGGAGAAAAGCCATGTTTTCATTAGATTGTTATCCAGCCAATGATCCAAAGAGATTAGAGAGATCTAAGTTAGGTAGTCATAGAGGCACCAGAAAATGTATGGGAGTGTCCAGAGGGAATGGATGAGATAGCCCAAGGTAGAGGAGGTATGATGTTTAAGGGGTCTGTGAGGGACTTAGGACACCTCTTGAGAAGGGGTCTGCCTGGTGAGCTGCTATAGAGCCTTGCCCAGGGAGGCAGGAACTGACTGGAACTCCCAACCTTTCACCAGCTCTCTGCTCTTGCCTCCCACCCCTATAACCCCTCCTGTTCCTGGATCTCGGCTCCAAGATGGTACGGGTGGTGTATGGCTTGGACGTTTCTCAGCACCTTGCCGCCTTCAGTGTTTCCTGGAGCTAGAGATAGTGCTTGAGGCGGGTGCCACAACAGCCATGATTAGAAACAATTAGTCCATGATGAGGCAGAGGCCCGCCCTTTGCAAACAAATCTGCAGCCTCCATTTGGCACCTGGGGGAGGGGTTGTGTGTGCCAGGCACAGTAAAGTGGTGTAGCAGGGAGAGGGGCTCATTGCTCTCCCTGCCTGACCCCCAGCAGCTCCTAATCTGGGCCTCACAGACCAGCTTTCAGGCACTATATGGTTCTGGCCAAGTCACAGTACCTTTTTGGGTCCAGCAAGGGGTGATAATTCTGGGCTGCCCTAGAAAAACCTAGGAAGAGGGATTTGGGGGTCAAAGGAAAGCAAGGAGGACTAGTTTGCCCCACTGGGCTTGGCTTGGTAGCAGACACCATAGTTTTCTTGCCATGGGCTCCCTCCTTAGTGCTATCACTCCTAGTTGAGCAGCAACCGTATTCTCTGTCTGGGACATTCTGGCCTGGGAAATCTGTCACCATGTCAGCCAAGACCCCACCAGGCTCTGGAATCAAATGGCCTGGACCCAAAACCAGGCTTAGCTCATTATGGAAGGTTGTGGGCCTGGAACAAGTCACTTGGCCTTTCTAGGCCCAGTTTCTGGAGCATGGAGGTGGTTAAGACAAAATAAGAGATCCATCTGTAGAGCACCAGGCAGGCCAAGTCCGAGAACAAATCAATTTTCTGAAATCCCCAAAGCAGGGACAGTTGTAGGGCTTTGCTTGAGAGGGAAGGGTCCAATGGAGGCTGCCAGGGGGCTTCCCAGAGCCTAGGGAGTGATCCTCTCCCACTGCCTTGGCAGTGTCTCCCTGCCCCCACTCGGGCACAAGCTTGTTATTTTCATAGCTTTCTGGTCCAGTGCCTCCAACCAGGAGTGAGTAATTTCAGGCCAAAGTCCTCGCACGTGATAGACGTGATAGGAAGGCAGACTGGCCCAGCCCCTACTTTCTCCCTCAGTTCCCTCTTGGGTAGTCTGTTAGGCTCCCTCCCAGGCCCAGAATCCAAATGGAGGGGAGAAAAAGCCACCTACCTCCATCTCACTTCCCTTCTGCTACCTTCCCAGGGGCCAGAATCTGAGGCCAGTTTAGGCAAGATGGGCCCTTCCCCCGCCAAGGATACACATGAAATAGAAACATTTTAATTGGTTTATAAGTTCTGAAGTGCCTTCTACACATCCGCCAGTTACTGCTAACTTCGCATATGCCCAGGTTGTAGAGTGCCTTTCTCTCATCCCCCAGTGGAGTACTGGGATCACCAAGAGCCCCCAGGGGTCTGAAGGGGTATCAAGGGTTTAAGAGATAGACTGGAGTAATGGGCAGGAGAACTGGCTACCTTAGAACTGGCTCTGGAGCAGGTGGGCCCCAGCCCTACCAACGGAAGGCAGGCACGGCCCGAAGTGGGTGGTCCCGACTTAGTCCCAACTCCAGAATAGCAAAGCCGGGCCTGCTCTGGCCCAAATGACACTTAAGATCCTGTCCCCACTCTGATCACTGCCACTTGGCAGTCAGTGCCAAGGTGCCTCTTCCCAGTTCCTGTGTGGCAGCAGCAGTGGCGGAGGCAGAAGCACTTATTTCAAATTGCAGTACAGATACATGGACGCAGTCATGGAAGCCAGCTGATGGGGAAGGAATAGGGCAAGATGAGGGGACATGATCGGGGAGTCCTTAAGTTTTCTTCCCCTGCCCCCCAGACACCGTACATGAAGCTCTGTTAGAAGTATGTCTCTTCCAGAGAGTCCTCCAAGATGGGTCAAGCAGCTTTGGTCCAGTGGGGACATCTTGCCCACTGGATATCCTTCTCACCCCCTTACCTCCAAGCCTCCTATTCCAGCTGCCACAGCACCCACAGTGACTGCATTGGTTCGGATTTCATACAGAAGCTGACTGAAGCAACCCTTGGGGGAGGGAAGAGAGCGTCTATAGTCAGCAGCTGCCTCCCCCGCCCCCTTTAGCACTCTGAGGCCATTAAAGCAGCCCCAAGCTTCTATGCCAGCCCACACCTGTACAGCCTTGTTCTCAGCCTTCTCCTTGGTGCAGGGTTCCGTGGCTGTGTCATTGACATGATCAAAGCAACAGTATGGGGGAAAGACCTTGTTCTCTACGAAGTAGGGAGAGCCCTCAAAATCCGTGTAGTTGTTGAAGCCACAGCAATTGAGCTAGAGACAAGGAGGGGAAGGGAGTTAGTGGGGCTTTGCTTCTTTCTACCCACTCCAAAATCTCCCCCAGCCCACCTTACCCCTTTCATGGTGGTGTTCCACACTTGGGTGAAGTCGCTCTGGGAACCGTAGTCTTTCTTGATGGTGGGCACTACCAGCAACGTTAGGAAGTGCTCACCCTGGATGGAGCAGGCCGGTGTTTAGGGCCTGGTAGAGAAGGTGGCCATTCACAGGCCACAGCCCACTCCCAGGGCCTTGTCCAGTCTTACCCCCTTGCCCCATCCCGGTTCCTCACCATGGCGGTATATACCAAGGCAACCACAGCAGCTGCAACCTCAGCAATGAAGATGATGAGGAGAAGGATGAAGAACTGAGTGGGGAACAGGGGTCTGAATTTTAGGAAGAGATGGTCTCTCATGACTTACTCACCCTAACCCACCCCTGTAAAAACGAGGCAAGGGCACCTATGCTGAGGCCCCTGCAGTCCAGAACAGGGTTTGGGGATCCCCAGGGCCTGGTGTCAAGGGTGAGGGGACCCTCGGCCATGGTTATGGGCCTTTGGAGGTCAGTTTGACACACCATCATGAGGGCACACTTGTTCTCAGTGTGAGCACCATAACAGCTCAGGAAACCGAGAGCAAAGAGCAGAGCGCCAGCCGCGATGAGGAAGTAGCCCACGTTGACAAACTGCATGGCGCTGGACGACAGTGGCCCGAAGATCTTCAAGAAGGATGACCCATCGACTGACACCCAGATGCCCACTGCCAACAGGGCCACACCGCACAGCTGGGAACAGAGAAGCAGATCTTGAAACAGTACTGGCAAGCAGTTCCCTACCCCACGGTCCAGTCAGGAACATGGGAGACAAGAAACTTCCCCTTTTATTGGCTAAAGAGTCTAAAAACTCATCCTGTAAGTGGGAAAAGCATCCTGTAGAGCCAGAAGGGTGGGACCTGGGACACCCGTAGCCAACACCAGGTTACACACCTAAGCAGATATAAATGAGATCAGCGGTTCCTGAAATATTCCCCTGGGGTGGGGGGTAGGGAGAGTTTCCCGCACTGCTCCCAGGGTCTTGAGACATAGCTAGGAGAGAAAACAGGCAGGCGAGCACCACCCCTTCAATTTCCTTCAGGGGCTACCGCTGCCTGGAACACCTCTGTCCTCTGATAGGTGAAAACATTAGGGTGGTAGCATTAGGCAGGCTCAACAGTCACCATAGCAACGAAGGCGGGGCTGAGGTTTACGCCTGCTCTCAACTTTGGAGAGGGAGGTGGTGAGAAGGAACGCCCACCCTGAGGCCCTATTTGGCTTCGTTCCAAGATTAGACTCCAGGCCTGCCCTTCATTCTGCCCAGACTTCTTGTAGAGACTGAAGCATCAGACAGAGAGTACAGCCAGAGCTCTTAAAAGTTCTCTAGCTCAACCCCAAACCTCAGAAGGAACCCTGAGGCCCAGGGGCAGGCAGGCACTGCCCAGTTCCCAAAGCATTTAAAGCAAAGCTTTGCTGATCCGGAGCTTTAAAGGTTGAATCAGCTTGAGACCACCCTTGGTGCCCAGTCCCCACTTTGATGCTATAGAAACTGAGGCTAGAGCCAAGAGTAAGGTGGATGACTGTGGCTGGATGACTGTCCCAAGCATGTTTGCCCAAGGACAGAAAGCTGGGCTTCGAACCTGCAGGGTCAAATTTCAAGAATTCTGAGCCCTGCCCTGCCCAGCCTGGCAAGGCCTGGGCAACAGAGAACATAAACTAAACCGGATTTACCTTTAACCCCCTCAGGTCAGAGCCTTTGCTTTCCCAGTCTCTGGAATCTTGTTGCCTTCTCCAGATACATGGATAAAAACCAGTTCTCAGAAGAAAAAGCCCAAGGAACAGCCCACATCAGAGTCAGAGTGTTTACCCCAACGCCAGTTTCTCCAAATTCATCTACACATCACGTCTCCACTTACTCGCCTTTTCCTCACTCTAACTCACTCCAATGTCGCTCCAAGGCCTCTGGTGACAACTTGCACTAAATCTGGTGGACACCTCATGCCATATCCTACTTGACCGCTCTGCTATCACACTCTCCTCGTTTTCTTCCCATTGCTCTTTCTCCACTTGCTTCCTGGTGGTCATTTCTGTGCTTACCCCTTAGAAGTTGGGCGTCTCAGAGTTCACTCTCTCTGAGTGCTCTAAGCCACTCCCATGGCTTCAATGACCACCTCTGAGCACATGACTTTCAAATATCCATGTCCAGTTCCCAACTGAGCTGCAATCCCATTGGGCACACAGCTGCCTGTAGGACACCCCCACGTAGTTCATGCTGGAGACATGGGCATCTTCTCCAAAACTTCTGTCTCCCTTGTCCCTTCTTCCATCCCTCAGCCACCGTCCAAGGGCTTTCTCCTTTGCCCATTTGTCCATTACTTCCCATTTTTATCACCATCTCCAGGGTTCATGCCTCATTGCTCAGCTTCCTCAAACATGCCCAATACAATCTGTCCCTGGTTTTCTGAACAAATATCTGATTTTATTGCCTCTGGGCCTTTCTGCATGTTTTACAACCTCCTCATGCACGGCAAATCCCCAGCCTTAGCTATTTCCTCCAGAAAGTCTTCTCTGACGGGTGGAGTTTAAGCCCCTCCTATAGATTCCCATAGCCCTTGTGCTAAGGCCAAAAAAACTATGTTGTGACTATCTGCCTATCTGGCCTCCTGGACCTGGGACCCTCCAAGGCAGAGAAAGAGCTTGCTCACCTGTCACCCCAGCACTCAACACTCTTAGGCAATAAATGTTTGTTGACTGAATAAGGGCTGCCTGAGGCAGACCCGCTGCTATGAGGTCTCTGGACCTTATCTCCTTTCAGCTCCCCTTCATACAGAGGCCACTGAAGTTTATTCCACACTAGGTGACCTAGGGTAAACCCCTTTCTCTCTCTGGGCTCCCTAATGTGTATAAAAAGGGAGACTAGTTCCTGGTAGCCTGTGCTGCCCTGCCCTGCCCTAAATCTGTGCTACAACTTCCTGGAAGGGAGAGGATACCCCTAAGCTTCTCTACTCTAACTTATGTGGCAGCCAGGCTGCTACTGGGACCAGAAGTAAGCATTTAAGACTTCTGCACTCCATCGTAAGGGGAAACCTGCAGGAGAGAGTCTGGGCACAGCAGTCTCCTATTTCTCAGGTTAGGCTCTGCTCAGGTTGTGACCCACTCCCTTAAGGAAACCCAAGAGCCCGCAACCTCCATACTTACAAAGATGAGAAAATTGAAGAGGATCATCATGTTCTTAACGAAGCTGTAGCACTTCATGGTGGCTCCTGGGAGGCAGACATGTGTGAGTTAGAACCTTTTCCCCTTGCCCCTGCCAGGGCTGGCGCTGGCCCTGGCATTGGACCCTGACATACCAGATTCTAGTATCCTGGACCCATATATCACCAAGCTTCCCCTGCATCTGGACTCTGATACCTGAGGATATTTTCCACTTCTTATCCTGACACCTCTACTTCTCTGTACTGCCCAGGCCCTCTATCAGCACCTGACACTCCGAGATCCTAACACCCTAGTTTCCTCCACTGGTACCCCAAGCCCAACTCCCATACTACCAGTCACTCCATGCCCTTCCCTGTCACCTATATATCCTGGAACCCTCCCCAAACCAACCCTAGGCTCTTCTAGAACCCTCCCCATGGCCCTTCCAGCTCCCCAAAGCTGCTTCCAGATTGAATTCACTTCATAAGATAATCTCTATCCTATGCCATCACCTACCTGTTCAGGGCTCTTGGTAGTGATTTCTGAAAGAAGGATCTGCCGAAGCTCCAGAGGGGACAGACAGCTCCAGGGAACTGCCACTGAGTGAGCTTGCTCTCACACACCACTGCTCACCTGTAGGTGGGGCAGGCGTTTTAAAGGACTCCTTCTGCCTGCCTGCCCCACCCCAGCCAGTCGACCTCCTCTTGCCCCTGCTGCCCCCTGCTGCCTGGAGATTTGTCCCCACAACCAACCACAGGATCAGTAGGCCTCCGCTTGACAATAGCAACAACCTTGGGCAACGCCCCTCCCGATCTGAAAAGGGAGAGAAGTCTGGAGGTGGGGCAGGTGACCCCCGGAACTTCAATGTGCCCTCTACCACAACAGTGCACATATGCTTCTTACCCTATATTTGCAGATACATTCATATACACCCCACATGCTCACAGGCACACACATCTGCCCAAGCTGCCATTTATATATTCACATGCAGATACATATATAAACACCTACTGGACTTATGGGTGCACACCCACACACTATCAAGGAAATGACCTAGGTTGAGCAGTTTCTGCCCCTCCTCTGAATAGCAAACAGCTCCTAATCCTCTTCTGTCCACAAAACTTCAAATTCTCCACCTTTCCTTTACTATCATCTTTCCTCCTCACTTTTCTCCCTCCCCACCCTTTTCTTTTTCTCCCTGCCACCAGCCCCCACCCGTCTTCTCTTAGCACTCTGTATACACCTCTTCCCTTTCTGCCAGCAGGTGGCACGATGGGCCCACAAAAGCGTCGCTGCTCAGTTCTAAGGCTCTGTAATCCCTGTCCTCATTAATCCCTCAGGGCCGCTGTCCCACTTCCTACTCAGGCACTGCTGGTGGTGAAATGCTGGGATTCTTCTGGCTTTTGAGTCATTCAGACTAGGTGCTCAAATCCTGGTTCTGTTGCTTATTAGCTGTGTGACCCTGGGGGCATTTATTTTTTTTTTTTTTTGAGAGAATTTTTATAAATTTATTTGAGCAAAACAGATGACATTTGCTGGGGAGCAAGATCTCAAATGCTCTCCCTGGAGGCATTTCTTAGACTGGGTTTTAAGCCTCTGTTCCTTAGTCTGTATAGCAGAATAGTTACAGGGCTTTCAAGATTTTTCTCCCCACTCTGGGATTTAAGGAAGTGACCCAACAGAATAAGAAGGCCAGAGTGTGGAAAGTCACAGCCAGAGGGGTATGGCATGGACAAAGTAGATTTAAATTTTTATTTTTTTTTTTATATAATGGGAGGAGGCAGCTGAAGAGACAGGAGAGATAACATAATATTTGTACAGATCATGTTTTAAAAACATTACATATATAGTAAGTCTTTTTTTCCCCCTTCACAACAATCCTATGAAATAGAGTCTCTTTTGATCCCCTTTTCAATATGGGGAAACAGAGGCACAGAAAGGTTAAGTTCATGATCACACAGCTTGTAAGTGGCAGAGCCAGGATCCACCCCAGTCAGTTTGGTGCCAGAGTCTACATCTTAACCACCAAGCAGAC